ATAGGATTCACAGTCAATATTGGGCATGCTTCTATCTTTATAGCTGAGCTTTGGGGAATGAGAGCAGGACTACGTTTATGCCGTGAGCTGGGGTTCACTAGAGTGATTGCTGAGATGGATTCTCTTATGGCTGTTCGGTTTGTCAATGAGAGAAGAGAGCCAGATAATCTAGCTGCTGCACTCCTGTCAGATATTAGGGACTTGATGGCACAGTTTGAATCTTGCATGTTGCAACACGTCTTACGGGAAGGGAATGCTGCAGCTGATTTTCTTGCTTCCCTTGGACACACATCACCCCCAGGCTTAAGTATCTTAGACTCACCACCGACTGGTCTTCGACCTATCCTTTTGGGGGATCAGATGGGGGCTAGTTCCCTCAGACTCTAGTTTTGCTGTTTCTTAGCTTTCTCACTGATGTACCGAAAAAAAAACTCATAAATTCCTTAATAAATTAAAAAATATAATGATTAATTAAATTAAAAAATATGTAATATTAATAATTAAAGGTGTAATAATAATATCACTTTAAGTGTTGAACCCATTACCTAATTTCTTTTTTTTTTTTGTTTTTATTTCTTGACCAAAATAAAAATTCAATTTTAGTAACATTTTTTTCCTCATTTAATAATTTTTTTCCTTTTTCTAATTAATTACTCAATTTAGTGACGCTTTCCTTCTCCACCAAAATCAAAATGCCTATTATCCACGTCCCTCCGATCCACGCCCATAAATACCCCACCAACCTCTATCGCCGGCTCTACTCAAAAACCGTCACAATGAAGTCGAATTTCTGTTTCTTTTTCCTCTCTATTTCTCTCCTCTTCCTTCCTGATCTCATCTGTGCTGACGACGAGGAACCCATCGGAAAATGGATTCCAATAAAGGATCTGACTGACTCGTACCTTCAGACCATAGCTGTATTTGCGGTGGGCGATATCAACCAGCAGTCTAAAAAGACTCTGACGCTGAATAGGATCCTTGAGGGAGAAAAAAACACAGTAAGGCTTGCAACTGAAACCCATTACCGGCTGCTTTTGGCCGTGAAAGATGGCGCACAGAGTGAGAGGTAAGAGGCTGTCGTAAGGGATGTCCCTGCGGACTATATAAGAGAACTCATCTCATTTAAACAAGTTAAGTAGAGTTTCATTTTTATTATTATTCTTAAAAAATACTAATAAATGTTTGACGTTGTTAGGCATTCACTGATCCAAAAATAAATTCAATTCGACTATCACTGTTGTCCAGGTTCCTTTTTTTTTTTTCTTATTGTTTATTACTCTATCCCTCTTAAATTATGTATTCTAGTCCAAGATTCTATTAGTTGAGGATTTTTATTGTTTTTTCATTGATCGAAAAAATATTAGGATTTTTATTCTAAAAAGAGTTAATTACATAGAGAGACATCATGTTTAAACTTACGGAGTATATCACTAATGTCAATAATTTTGTACGTAGTGAACAATGGGGTTAAAGTTAAAAAAATATATTTGTCAATCTTAAAAAAATAAAAAAATAAAAAAATAAAATAATAATAATAATAAAAATTAATTTAAAATAGATTTAAAATGAAATAAAGATAATTATCTAGTAATGGAAAGGGTATACCAATTATCACCAAAAACTTATTAAGGATTTATTATTGATATGGTCCTTAGGGTCAGGGTTTCTATTTTCTCTCATTTGAGAGCGATGTTTTTTTTAATTATTTGGTTAAATATCAATTTTGATCTATCAACTTTAGAGTTTTATATAATTTTTAT